TTACTCCACTACATTTATTTAATATCTTTAGTTACTTTACAGATGTGGATTAATGATGTGAAATATAATCAACCCTTAAATCAGACTTTAGTTCCACCTGGAGTAAATTCACAAGCTACCCTGCAGTATACCAGCTTTGATAACACTTTAATGCATCAATAATTATTGTTGGGGGGAAATACTGTTTGCTACTGTTATCATATACTGTTGGAACTGTGCATGCCCTTGCAGATGGCTCCTGTAAGACAAGAGGCACCAAGACTTGGGCGCCGTTTACACAAGGACAAAACTGCTTGTATCTGTATAGTTTCGCGTGCGTATAGCCCTATTATTTACACGAGGCCGATAGAAACGGACCCCACAAACGATAACGGGTCCCAAGGTGGATAGATTTGCAAACGAAACTCTCTGGGAGGTCAAACGAGTCCGTGTAATCACCTCTATACGAATATTTCCTGAAAAAATAATGATAGCCCCACCTCTCCCGACCTCTGCTGCTCACTGCTGTAGCATGGCCAGTAGCCATCTGTAACGATCAACTATCAAAAATAGCTGTGTTAATTAAACGCACAAGGGGTTCTTGAATGAAATAATATTATAAAAGGCAAACCAGAATTGTTAACGCCCAATATACTCCTTAAACAAAATAAACAGAGTCAGATTTCATGCATTGATCCATTATATTGACAAAGGTGCGATCTCACCCGGTGTTTGTAGAGAATATCTCTCTTTCTGAGCCGTCCTCTCCACAGAGACGTGCTTCTTGGTCGGTCGATGCAATATCCACAGATTCGGTTTCTTTCAGTTAACTTCCCCGTTGCATTTATCCATATGCTGAGGAAATGACTATATCCCGCTGAATACCAGCAATCGCCACACACTTCCTCCTGTCAGTAGCTACTGCTAGTGCTACTGCTACTGACCATGCTACAGATATTAGTGCAAAATCTACAGCTCCTCTACCACAACCATCAGCAACAAGTGGACATGGAGAATTACATGAACTACATGTTGCTAAATACACCGCGGGGCTTAAACAGAAGGGTAGCCATGGCAACATTGTGGCGGGGCTGCTCGGGCTGCTCTTCTTCGCGGCTTTTGGTGTATTTTGGCGGAAGTTACAGCGCCACTTACAGTCCCGGCATATGTACTACAGCGTTTCCAGCGGCCTCGTTTGAACAGACACGTTAAATGAAACTAATGCATGTGAACGGAAGACTTTTTTGAATACGCATACTGTGCATAAACGCAAACGGTCCCGTGTGAGCGGGGCCTGAATCAGCAGATCTGTCAACACCCCCGATGTTCAGAGCATGGGCGTCGCAGCCATTATATGAGGGTGGGACAAGTCCCCCCCACTTTTTCAAATGATTAGTTTAGACCCCCCACTTTTACTATGCGGAAAGTCCGTGAATCGGTCTATCCACTCGCCGCACTTTGTAGAGCGCTGTGTCAGTGCTTCACTATCAAATTAAATCCATTCCACTTGCTTATTGAGAGAATGCCCAAATCAATGAAACCCCGTACCATGTTTTCACTGCTACTTTGTACCAAGGCAGATTCTCACATAGCGCGCGCATGTTCAAGGAGTGTTGTCATAGTTGGACAGCTCAGGGGCCTCATTTATAACGCCTTGCATAGGATTGACGTGGGAAGGTTGCTTACGTAGTACAAAGCAAAAAAATAGGTACAGACATTTTCCGACATTTTCCGATTCACAAAACATTGCGTACCGGCGAGGGAAGTGCGTACGGCACTTCCTATGCCTGTTTCCCTTTATAAATCACAATCGACTCGTAACGCCTATATTTGCCTTTAAATAGTCAAAGAAACTACCATTCATTCATTCATTCTGACTGACTGCATGAAGAAGATCGCAGGAAATGAGGACAGAACAGCTAAAAAAGACATCTCACACCGTGTCAGATTTTGGTTATTTTGGGGAGGTCAAGATAAATCATATTGTTTGGTGGATGCAGTTTGAACCAGAGTAGCAGCATGGAGGTCGGATCGTCACCAAAATAAATAAATAAGTGGTCCGAAAAAAGTTAATGACAAAAAAAATACACATAACCTTCCTCAGGCAGTGTGTTTGTCCCGGGGACAGGAGACACCCCCTTGATGAAAAACTGTAAGAAATGATCGGGGAATCCCTCCGGAGTGGAGTCATGACGACTGGATCTGAATTATTTTGTTGTATTTGGTGGTTTGTGTTCCAGCTGTCGATCAGCAACTATATATCCATAATCCACCAGTTAAAGGAAATACAACTAATGTGTTGTGTTATATTAGCTGTACAATTTACCACATATGGTGTTCTTAGTTTCCATACCTCCTGTGTTTTATGAGCGACTTATCAAGTCTTGGCAAACGGCATAAAACACGATTAAACGTGATAGTATATAAAACCATGCTCGTATCTACAACCTATAGAAATGCAAAACGGCGTCAGTTTAGACGTAATTCTGTCCTCCTGCTTACCGCATCATTTATGAGAAAACATTTCATAACATTAACACAACATATTCGAGGTGGTTTTAAATAACATATCCGTATTTATTTATTTCTCCAAGTTATGTTTTTGTGTGCACTGAGGAGTCTCAAACAGGCGTTTGTTTAATCATTTTAAGATTGGCTTTAATCAATGTTTGAAAATGAATTCTTCATATTTGATAAATGAGAGGTAACATTTTATTTATGGTATTATTTCCACATATTCCTCTCCATTCTTCCTTCTGCCAACGGTGTCGCAGTTTCTCGTCTCTCCCGTTGTTGTGCTTAGTGCGTACGCATGGGTTAGAGTTTGCTTGGAGGACCGCACATTTTCCCGTCAAGTTAGAATTTTATAAATCGCAAACATTGCGTAGAAACTGGCGTACGCCATTTTTTGAGCATATATCCCTTTATAAATGAGGCCCCAGATCTGTTGTATGAAGCAATGCCGGTAGCGGAGGTAAGGCACACACACCAAATGTTCAGGAAATGGTTAATACAGCGAAAATCAAAGCTGACGATCTCTTGGTTTGATATGTTTTCTCCCCCAGACAACATGGACATAAGAACATTTTTTTCAAAGAAGAGGAAAGTAAGTCATCAGCTGGTAGCAGTTAATCAGTTAACAGTGATGGCGGCGTCTCACTTCTGGAGAGGAGTTTCGTCTTTATGTCATGATAGAGAGATACAAATACTGAATAGTTTAGATGAGAAAAGGCATCGAAATGCCAGGTTACTAGTATTTATCATGTAAACAGGGAACATGAATCACCCGATCTCTCTGTGCTCATGTAAACACCATATCTCCAATATGATCATAACCAGGATAATAGGCTACTCATAAACGGCTTACTGATGTCCATGTAGAGACGCAGTCAGTGTGTTTTACTGGAGCCTCAGTTCGATAAGAGATTATTTTCTGAGTTCTTTAACTTAGGTACTCTCTCTCAAAATGGTAATGTGCATTATGTTTTAATTATACTTCTTATCATTCAGAAGCTTTTTGTGTGTGTTTATGTTTTACTGAGTGCTTATAGGCTATTTCCATTCCAGTATTCAGTTAACTATTTATTTTTTGTGCACATTACATAGACTAGCTAATATTCTACCTACTGCTTGGGACTTTGAGTCTTCAAAATGTCCAATGTCACAGACTGGGACTTACTTTAGAGTCCGTTGTATTTACATTCAGTATGACTTGTTATGATTCAATGTGAAAGAGTATACTGCTCAATAAATAATTATCACTTCACCACCTCTCTTGACATCTAGGCACTTGAGAGTGAGTCAGAGGCAGAATACAGGGACAGTGGAGAGAGGTCCATTGCTGAGGTGAGTGATGAAAGGGAAATGACAGTTGAGAGTAAATTGTGATGTGGACTCTGAGAGTAAATTGTGATGTGGACTCTCATCCCAGGATTTTAAGGAAATCAGTGGGGATATTGAACAGGAAACATTTCAGTCAAGGGGCATCATATGACCAATATAGACAGAAGAGCAACATTTATTTGAACATTTAAGTCAATGATACCATTCCTAGGTGAACTTAACATCCGTATGGAGTCAGATCAGTCTCAATATTAATAAATGCTCACAGAAGGATTCACAAATGTATTTTGCGATTTATATATAAATGACTCTCCACAACAATATCTCTCAATGCACTCACAAATATTTATTGTTGTATATAAATGTACAAAAAATGGGCATTTAAACTGCTTTTTATTAATTCAAAGACGGCTCTGAATTAATAATCAAATATGTTTCCTTTCTTTACTACTGGATGAAATTACAAAATGTACCCATAATTTTCCTCATGCTAGTATAGCCACATAAAAGTATCAAACCACCTGTTAAAATGCACCAGAATGCAGGAAATCTATATATTTTTTCACCCCCCGTTAAAAATGTCCCCCCCACATTCAGGATGCTTCCTACGCCCATGGTTCAGAGGGTAGTCCCCAGTATCCCTCACTTACGGTCTGGGAGCAGAGCAGGACAGTTCAACATTATGATTATTTAGTTTAAAACCAACATTAGTTTCATTCGTTTTCCACAAAACTGTGACGACAGCAGCCTGAACTCTGGGCCAAGTCGGGTCAAAACCGTAGACCTGTATTGAAACTGAACCTAAACGAACTTTCTACATTCACGGGAAACTTGCTTAGTTTTGCAGCTGCGGCGGACAAGACAAGACAGGCAGGTCCAGACCAGTACACGAGGAAACTGAAAAAATAACAAAAAAGCATTTATATTCCTAGTTGAGTTCAGTTTGTGGAGGTTTTGTGGCAGTGACAGGATTATTTCAGCGTCCACGGTGAGTTCTGGCATCTTTTCTCTCTTTTTTATACATTTCCGACTTTATCAGTCGCCTAACTTTACTCCTACTTTGAATTAGCTAGCATACATCTTGAAAGCTATACGCGTTTTGACTACTATCTTTTAATGCTTTGTCCACTGCATATGTGAATGTATGCTCAAATGTCCTTTTCTTTTCATTCATGCAGATGGCTTGGCAGGGTACCATCGTTTTCTTTGACCTTGAGACCACAGGATTAGGTAAATAACAATCACTTGATGTCTGTTGACTGTTTGTAAATACTTACTATAGTTGCTTATTAGGATACATTATTTCTCGTATTTGTGGGGAGCTTTGGGGGGGGGTGTGTGTGTGTGTGTGTGTGTGTGTGTGTGTGTGTTAAAGTTAACAGATATGGTTCTAAACTGTATTGAAGTAAACATGTATTATTTTGAACTGTATTTTAGTGAACATGTATTGTTTGAACTGTTTTAAGTAATCCTATATATATATATTCTCTTCTCACTTACACTCACTGACCCAGATATCCTGCTACACACACATACACCTCCTCCCACCAGCACACACACATATTCTTTTCAAGGTCCTTTCTGGGCATCAATATATCTGTGTACAATGTTTGGTTGTCTGGGAAAGAATAGTTTGTGTGAAATATTCCTCGGGAAAGTAAAGGAGTGAATACAGGTGCAGAGATAAAGATTGACTCTGTCCTTGTGTACTTCCGAAGATCAGAAGAAACATATTTTTTTCCCAGAACTCTGATTCGCTGTATTGGACCCGACCAGAAATGAATCCAACCAGTAAAAACACCTGGGGGAGTGAGCAGCTCACACAGCTCCTCCCCACGGACTCTCTGATTCGCTTCGGAGTAAAATGGGACGGAAGAGTCAACCCATCTCCGCCCCACAAATGTTTATGAATACTGTTGTTTATTCATGCAAAATGCTTCCTGTTTCTGACTGGCTGGTCCCGATACCTGTATTGCACGGCAGTAGAACTGGAAGTCCAGAGTACTCTGTAAACTTGTATACGTGTTTTTTACCAGTAAAATCAGATTATTGTTATAACCTTTATTCCGGTGTTTTGAACTCCTTCTTTTATTAAATCTAACCAGGCTCATCTAACGGACGGCGCGTAGCGGAGGTGGGCTTTAAGCCACCACCACGGTGTTTACTACAACAGTGTGTGTGTGTGTGTGTGTGTGTGTGTGTGTGTGTGTGTGTGTGTGTGTGTGTGTGTGTGTGTGTGTGTGTGTGTGTGTGTGTGTGTGTGTGTGTGTGTGTGTGTGTGTGTGTGTGTGTGTGTGTGTGTGTGTGTGTTGTTATACATGTTTGAATGTGTTTTTGGGCGTATCTCTTTCTGACTGGATGGTTATGAAACAAAAGCACACACACACAGGCCCAATCCCAAACCGCCCCCTACACCCTACCCCTACACACTACCCCTCCGTTTGCGCGTTCAAGCCCTCAAACAGCGAGTCTGCAGCGGTGCTGACTGGAGACCGGTCTCTACCTGACCGGTCTCAACGCTGTGTGTGTCCGTCAGGAAACACGCTGTTTACAAGTAGTTCCAGCAAACATCCACTGATAAACTGCGATGTTAACAACCTCATGATAACCTCATATTATTTAACTTAGGATCGTATACCTGTGTTTAGTCTAGAAAAAGGTAAATGTGTGCATTTTATTATAAAGTTGTGTATATTTACAGATTGTTGCAAAAACTAAGAAGCTTATAAAAATCAGGTTTAAAACTAAAAATTAAAGATGTTTGGAGTTTTATTTGAGTTATTAATTTTTACTTTTTGTCTAAGAGATGCTGATTTGAAACCGTTGTTACATACAGTTACGGCATTTCCTGTTTCTGCCGGAGAGAGGGGAGTTTGTCCCAAAGCTTGCCTCTGTATTTACTCCCTCCATCTGACAGGAGGGAGCCTCATTGAGCTGCGAGTGTCACTCCACAGAGTTCACTCCGTCACGGAGGGGGAGTGTGTAGGGGTAGGGTGTAGGGCGTGGTTTGGGATTGGGCCACACACACACACCAACCCATCATTTAAGTGAACACAGACATGTCTGGTATTGTAATATTCTAAATAATGTATTTTCAAAAAAAATTAAAGAGTCTGTGTGAGGACCAAAAAGGTAGTTTGTTGCCTGAGGGGCAACAGTATGCCATAGATCACTTTGTTAACAATATTTATTGATTTATTGATATATTTATTATTTGATTGAGCTCAAAGGTTCATAATTAGTCTACTGCAATTAGTTGTGTAGATGGCATGTCAAAATGGCTTAAATTGTCTTTTTTATTTTTCTTGATTTCTTTTAATTATTTTAAGGAGATCTTCAGAAATGGAAAGGGAGAAAGGAGCACAGATTAGGAGGGAGGGGGGGATGTAACACCTCCACCAGCCCCCATCCTGTATTGTTTTAAAACTCTCTCCTAGGGTCTGCTTCTTATCTGTGTCTTGGGGGTTTATGAGGGTTTATGAGGGTCGTTAACTAATCTTTGTTGTTGAAAAGATTGTATCTCAACTTGGTCGTTAAGTTGGTCTGTCCTTTACAGAATATCAAAGTATTCTGTAAGAATATAGTTGAAGTCCCTTTGGCTTTGAGCCGCTTCTTCTAATGTGAAACATTAAGCCGTTTGATGAACAAAAGATGACCACTATATCATTTTGACTATATCTTTTTTAATATTTTGTATTAAATTAATTCCTTTTTTGCATGCAGGCGTGACATCTTGTCACATCGCCCAGTTGGCGGCCAGCTGTGAAAATACCATCTTCAACGACTACATCCTCCCCCGCATCCCATTCGATCACGGAGCTACAGAAGTGAACGGCCTCACCGTCAGTTATGGCCAGCTGTTCCTCCACGGAGAGCCTGTGAGAACTGTGCCACTTTACTCTTCTTTACAATCTTTCATCGAATACCTTGGCAGCTTCCCCGGCCCTGTGCTGCTGGCGGCCCACAACTCAAGGAGATATGATGAAATTGTGCTCAAGAGAGTGCTGGAGATGTGCTCCCTCTTTGAGCAGTTCAAAAAGGTGGTGTCTGGGTTTGTGGATACCTTACCACTGAGCAAGAAGCTATATCCTCAACTGAAATGGTTTAATCAGCCGTATCTGGTCCGCTACTTCCTGGGAGAGCGATACAATGCTCATAATGCAGTGGAGGATGCCAAACTGCTGGAAGAGCTGTTTTCCAATTGTTGGAATCCCGACAATGATGACATCAGTGAGTTCACCGACTGGATCTATGCTTTAAAATAAGCTACAGAACAACATTAAAATATTAAAGTTAATATGTGTTGTTTTGTGTTCTCATCATGTACTGTTTTGGAAATCTTAGACCTAGTCAATACTCAGGAGATATACAATCAGAATGATCAATCAATAAAATGGTGGAAACAGAGTTGTCTTTCTGGATCTTTATTCTGGCGGGCTCTTTCTTGTCTTGCTATCTCTGCTTCATCTTCTTCATCGTCTTCTCTTTGTTTTCTCCCTCCTTTTGGAGCAGCGGCGCCTAGTAGGTTTGCGTCCTCCGGTGCAGCCGCCTCGGGAGGTGGGTGACGGAGTGGCGGAGGTGGGGGAAATGGAAATCCATGGTCGAGGAGAGGGTCCCTCACGCCTGTCAAAGAGGGATACAGAGAAACAGTGTGTGGGTTATATGGTGGTGGTTTGCTCTTTTTCTCTTTATTATCACTTTCATCCTCAACCTGTATATTCTTCATAGCCGAGGCCAACTGCCTCCTTTCACGGGCTTCTGCTTCATCCTCCCAGTGTTTTAAACACTTTCTGTGAGTGTCCAGCTTCTCTAAGTCTGTCACTTTAATTTTACTCTTCTTTTTCATTTCATCTTCACATTCTTGTAATTTATCCCTTAGCTCTTTAATTTTTGCTTTACTTAAAGAACCCCCCTTTGGAAATCCGAACATTTCCGTCCAGATATTTAATTTAGACAAACTGTCTTCACCATGTTTTGCTCGCATGACATCCACTATAGGGCTCTCGGGAGGTTGTACTGGACCCCCCTGCTTTGCCCCCATGGAGGAAAGTCTTTAAGTGCTTTACCCAGAAAACACCCCGTGTTATACCAAACACGTATATAAATGTAATAAAACACCCAATGTTATACCAAACACTGTATTTATCACCCGTCGGTGATGATATTTGTTAATGTACGTAATACCGTCTTACGACCAAATACCTTAATATGAGCAGCCCACCGTATAATAAATGTCATGGAGGTTAATTACGTTTTATATTTAAACAACTAGTTATATTTAATCAACTAGAAATTGTACGTCTCACCGAGTATTGAGGGCCTTTGAGTCCGTTGGATCTCGTGAAGTCAATCGGTTCCACCTCCGGCGCTGGTCCCCTCGTCCCGTACGTTTTCTGTCGAGGTAGAGGAGAATCCGAAGATCCCGGCGGTACCAACCACCAGCGTCCGCAGGTGTCCCCAATCGAGCTTGCAGAGATCCTGCCGACAACGCCAACTGTTTTGGAAATCTTAGACCTAGTCAATACTCAGGAGATATACAATCAGAATGATCAATCAATAAAATGGTGGAAACAGAGTTGTCTTTCTGGATCTTTATTTGAAGCTTCAAATAAGGCACAGGTCTTACGGAGTACAGAGTATTCCAAAGAGTGCGCCCAGAGAGAGAATTGCGCATAGGTTTTATAGCATCTTTGTCAGTCCACAGTTCAACAATAACTCGTGACCTGTCACTCTGGGGGGGCTGGATGGGCAGATAAGCTAAAGCCCACATTCCAGAGGAACAGAAGCCACACATGGGCAATGTAGTAAATCAGGAACTTAGTAAAACAGGAACTGGTTAAAGACAGATGGAAGTGTTGAAACTCTAACCCCCAATGTGTTAAAGCCAGGTGAAATGAGGACAGCAGGAAGTCATAGAGAGGTCAAAACAGATATAAACAAGGAATGAGGAATTCATTGCAAGACAGGGGAAACAAACACAGGAACTCGTTTGAGACACTTCTTCACTTTTGCTTACGACCCTGTTTCACCCCCAGACATCCTTAAGGCTAGTTATATGTTGAACAGAGGGCATGGATTAAAATACCTCCTCATGGGACAACTGCATAGCATTTTACCATATTAGGTAACACATAAAGTTAGTTTGCACATCATATAAAGTTTACACTACATATAGAGTTTGCCATTACATATAAAGTTTATAAGTATACACTGTTATAAAGTTTTCCACTACAGTACCCACAGGTGGTTGTACAGATCGACATAACAAAAAAAACGTGTGATTTATGACATAATGCTTGTGACACCTCGAACTCCATGTTAAATAATGCTCATACTTTTTGATGTTCTGTGTCATGCTCAAAGTGTTTGTTTTTGTATTTCCTTTAAATTGAAGCATAATGTTTAAATTACCATTAAACTTTCATTTGACTCTTCTATACAATTTCTTCAACTCATTTCTAGCCATCATTCAGGGAGAAATGTCTACTCCTTGAAGGCATGGCATTCTTTGTTTTTCAAACATCATATATCATTATATTCATTATCTTCCCTACCTGTAGTAATGAACTTGTAAACAACTATATTCAGTGGCATTATATCCACCAACAACATCATTGTTAGAGATATACACTCAGTGGTGTTAAGTAACTAAGTAGATTTACTCAAGTAATAAGAACAATTTTGAGATACTTGTTTGATTTTAGAATCAGAAATTTACTTGAGTATTTCCATTCTACTCCACTACAATTCAGAGGTAAATGGTGTACTTTTACCCCACTACATTTATTTAAAGGTAGGGTAGGTACATTTGAGAAACCGGCTCGAGATCGCTAGAATTTGAAAATACACAACCGGAGAAAATCTGCCACTTCCTTACAGAGCCCCTCCTCCAACACACACGAACGCGCACATGACCAATGAGGGCACGAGATAAGTTTGTGCACAGATGGAAGGCTGACAGGCAGGTAGGCCATCCAGTTATTTTAGCCGGGCCGGCTAAAATGATTGGTCGTGCTTTTTACAGTATTACGGCTTCCACAGATGACATTTTTTTATGGATTTTTTGTCAAAGCACTTAAGATATTCATTGCTATCGGGATGTTAAGAGCATTCCATGGAATATAACAAAAAGTGTATCTCGAGCCGGTTTCTCAAACTTACCTACCCCACCTTTAATATCTTTAGTCACTATACATATTTGGATTAATGATGTGAATTATAATCAACCCTTAAATCAGACTTTAGTTCCACCTGGAGTAAATTCACAAGCTACCCTGCAGTATACAAAGTCATTCAAACTAGCTGCTCCTTTACCAGCTTTGAGAACACTTTAATGCATCAATCATTATTGTTGGGGGAAAATACTGTTTGCTACTGTTATCATATACTGTTGGAACTGTGCATGCCCCTGCAGATGCCTCCTGTAAGGAATGCAGGAGAGAACAATCTGTCTTTTCCGTGGATAAACAAATGAATCAAGTCTTGGTGCCTCCTGTCTTAGGGTTAAATCTTCCCCTTCTGCTACAAAAGTGCCATTTAAGACAACACGTGTTGCTCTGTAGATTGGAAAAAAGCCTCTTCTTTAAACCAAAGTGTCTGTAAAATGAATATAAGTATTATCTGTCAGTTACCACAAAGAACCTGAATAATCCTGAACAATTTTTGGAAAGCCATAAAATCGATATCCACCGGTGATATCCGTAATGAGCTACCTCCGTGCATTACCACAGCATCTGGCACTATATCGGACAGGGCCACTATGTTAAATTGTTTTAATGAGCATTTTGTGTCCTGCGGTTCTATGTTTGATTCTGTGACTAACTCTGCTTCTGTGAACACCACAGTCTGTGACTCTGAAAAACGTGTTTTGGAAAACCCTTTCAGTTTTACTCCTTTTACTGTTGATGTTGTTCGTGAAGCTTTAACCAAGTTAGATCCTAAGAAACCGGCCGGCCCGGACAATGTAGAACCTTTCTTTTTAAAGATAGCTGCAGATTTTATTGCTCCACCTCTCACTACTCAGTAAACTTTAATATAATGAGGATACACATCATAGTGACGGATAAAGTGTCAGTTTTTGCCATCATTCATTATCTGTCTGTGTCGTCTGTACATTTAATTTTCATAATGTGAATCAACAGTTCTTGTTATTCTGTCATGTAGTAGCTCAAGTTTTTTTATTGTGTTTGAGCAGAAACGTGAAGGCATTAACCCTCCTGTTGTCTTCGGGTCAAATCTGACCGATTTACTACTTTCATCAATCATAACTTTTTTGTTTTACATTCGATTGCATTCGATAGACATTTGAACATATACAATTGCTGATCACCACTTTCATTGAATTTTGGATGTTTAGTCAACTTTGTAACACCCATGGTGTTCCCGGTCAAAAATGACCGCCATAAAGAACACACACACACACACACACACACACACACACACACACACACACACACACACACACACACACACACACACACACACACACACACACACACACATGGATCACACCTGGCACACGCAATACATGTTCAGTGTCTATTCTTTGTATATTTACTGCAGTTGTTCATGTATACCAGTAGTCTGATACAATATGTACAGTTTGAAAGGGTGTTAAATGAAATGTGGTGATGATTAAAGGTTTTTGTGTTAATGTAATAGCAGTTAAAACAGGACCGGTCAAATTTGACCGTGAACACCAAAGTATGGGGGGGAACACGAAGACAATAGGAGGGTTAATACTGTTTATATCCGTGTGTGTCCAGTTTGCTGATGGCGTGTATCTGATATTGCTGATGGGGCCGCTCGAAGACTACTTTGTCCCTCTGTTCAACTTCTTCCTCACTCCTGAGAGCTTCGAACAGAAGGTGAGTACACCTCCTCAAAAAGTGGAAATTGTCAGTCAAAAAAGAAGACTTTTAGCAACTCATCACTGAATTGAGTTTTCATGTTGTTACCCTGCAGATCCACAATGTGGCGTTTGCCTTTGAGCTGATGCAGGATGGAGGCCTGAAGAAACCCAAAGCCAGACCAGAAGGTATTTTATAGATGTGTTACACAATTACAAGATCAGAAGACAATTTCCCAGAGGAGACTTTATGGAGACTGACCTGGATTACTTGCTGAAAAGACCCTCTAAAAACAATGTTTAATGGTTGTCATATTAAAAGATGTCCAGGAGATGGAGACCTTGCTTCACCCTTAAACTCTCATACTGAATACATGTTGCTGAGTTAATTTGGCCCTGGGATAAACTTTTTTATAATATAATTTAAAGCTGATACTTCAAGAATCAAAATATTACTAACTGGGGTCACGTAGTTATTGCTTTTTCTGTTGGTTATTAATAGAGATGCAGATAGTTGCATTTTATGTACCCATTTTACTCTGCATACCCCCTGTAGAGTTGGAAATGCTATTACAGAAATAGCTTTCAGAGCGTGATCTAATACAGTTGAATGATCACGTACTTAAACTGTAATCAGTATTTTGCTTTATTGAAGCATTCAAATTTAAATCAGAAACTGTAACTTTCATTAAAGGCCTAAAAGTTAAGTCACTCTAGGTCTGGCCTTCCCAGAAATAAAGAAAGTGTTTCCATTCAACCGGTCACCTGCTGGCAAATATCAGAAAAAATGTATCGACATGTGGTTTTTAAACAAAGTTTTGGATCAAACAGTGAGACTGAAAATACTTGTAACAGACCCCAGTGACGTTTTGTCTTCTGCTACTCCTTCACTCGTCAACAGTGCTGAGCAGCATGAAGCTTTAGCACGCTCTGTCTTTATAAAGAGTCCCATTTTACCCAGAATGTAAATTGAACTATACCTTTATAGCTGAGAATAAGACAGCTTATTTTTTTAAATCTTTAGACATACTTTTTGTTAGATCTATAAGCCAACCTTAATGTGTGTTTAAATAAACAACTCCAAAGGGACCTGAAACAAATTAAAGATGGAAAACACCTACAGAGCAGGGCTGTCCTCAACTAAAGACATTTTAGTCCAATCGGAAAAGTCGACTAATCGATAATTTTTTCTTCATCTGTAGAGCTACATTTTCTCCACAAAGAAACAATGCTTTCAATCGTGTGTTTATCGTGCGCCACAAAGTGCCTAAAAAAGGATACATTTAGAAATTGCAGCCCTACTACAGAGAGATGAGTGAAAACAAGCTACGAAAGAACATTTTGAAGGAGGTATCGAAAAACACGCCAACCATCCCTGCCTGCTAGCAGCCAGGAGAAATGATGAAGGGCAACCAGGAGAGACAACACCTGTCCAGATACAGTATGTCGTCGTCGTCGTCGTCGTCGTCCCCCCCCCCCCCCCGCAGCTCAGCAGGCCGGCCTAAACCTGCACTCACACTATTTCACTGTTACAGTCCAGCTATACTTTACATATCCAAGCTGTTGGTGTGTCTCGAAAGTGAGAGCAGAGCAGGGTAAAGCAGAGTAGTAAACCTTACCTTGCATAGTGCTGAGAGTATCTATCACAAGATCCCGTGCACTTCTTCAAATCATGATGTCACCTGATGAAGGTGCTCTGCATGATTGCATCTGTGGCACAATACAGTTTCTGATATTGCATCGCTGTTACAATACTTTACACACCCAATACAATTCAAACATGTGGCCCACAATAACATAGGGCAATAGCTGTTTTCATTTTTATTAAAGTGTTATTTTTCTCTTTCTCAACCTCAACGAGAGCAAGACTGAGGTCATCTTTTTTGGACCCCAACCTCCAGCCTCTCCGGTTGATATTCTGGGCTCTCTCAAAAAAAACATCCTCCCCTCGGTCATGAACCTTGGAGTGACCTTCACTAGCACTTTTAAATTCGACAAGCAGGTCAGCACCGTAGTCAAATCCTGCTTTTTTAAAATAAGACTATTGGCCAAAACCAAGTCGTATTTATCTTTTAATAACTTAGAAAGGGTTATTAACGCCTTTGTAACCTCGAGACTGGACTATTGCAACGCTCTGTATGTGGGTATGGACCAGGCCTCAATTAAACGCCTGCAGCTAGTCCAAAACGCAGCTGCACGTTTGCTGACTGGCCACAAAAAGCGTGACCACATCACCCCAATTCTGGCCTCACTACACTGGCTTCCAGTTCGGTTCAGAATTGATTTTAAAATCCTTTTATTTGTTTTTAAAGCACTAAATGGGCTGGCTCCGGCCTATATAGCTGAACTCCTCCAGCGCTACACCCCAGCCAGAGCTTTAAGGTCTGCTGACCAGCTGCTGCTGGTAGTGCCCAAGACCAGGCTTAAAACCAGAGGGCACCGAGCCTTCGCAGCAGCTGGCCCTAGGCTCTGGAACACTCTGCCCCTCCATGTGAGGTCGGCCCAGACCCTAGGGGTCTTTAAATCCCCTCTATAAACACACTTCTTCTCTCTGGCTTTCTAGTTAGAGCGGAGCACGACTCCTGACTTTTCCTTGTGTTTTTATTTTTATTTTGTTTTTTATATATATCTGTTGTAATTTATTGTCGTTTATTGTGATTGTAGTAATGTGTTTTTATTACATGTACAGCACTTTGGCTCGACCAAACATCGCTTTTAAATGTGCTATATAAATAAAACCTGATTTGATTTGATTTGATTTATTTGCAACCCTGTTACTCTAATTATAATATTACATTACATGTCACTTGTTAGACGCTTTTATCCAAAGCGGCTTACATACTCAGTACTGTGGACAATCCCCACAGGAGCAATTTGGGGTGAAGTGTGTTGCCCAGGGACACAACGACATGCTGACTGCAGTGAGGTTTGAACCTCTGACCCCCAGTTCCGAACACCAACGCACAACCCACTGCACCACATGCCAAATATATAATAATAACAGGGTTGATTCTTCATTGAAAAATATATATAAAATATTATCAAACAACATTTCTGTGGTCCTGAGTATTTATTTGTCACATTTATGTCATGATCTACAATCAAAAGTAATGTAGCCATTCAACCCTGTTACTTTACGCAACCCTGTTACTTTACGCAACCCTGTTACTCTAATTTCAACCCTGTTACTATATCATTTTCTACTAAAATAATCAAATTAAACCAGTTATCCAAAAACGACATGAGTATTTAATGTAAATGTGACTTTCTTTACTTAATAGTAAATAATTTTATTGAAGAATATTTTTTTCTGCTTAATGAGTATTTGTAACAGGGTTGCACAAAGCATGGCACACAACAAATAAAACATCTAATAAAAAGTACATTTGATGCCTTAGCTGGGCAAATCAATTTTGTGATGGTTTATTATCTGTTTTTCCTAAATACATAACAAAAAATTATAAAGTAAAATGTTCATTTTTCAAAAATGTGGATGTCTAAATTGTCCTCCAATTACTACGTTTTGTGTACTGTCGTGTTTCAGAATTCCTCTGCGAAGCAAGGAGTCGGACCAGGCAATAAAGTTATAATAAATCTGATTTATTTCAGTTGTGATAAGGAATATAATTTCTCAGCTGAGGTCTCTGGAGATCAGTGATCCACAGACCGCGAGCAGTTTCCACTCCAAGCAGTTAACTGTCTCACACTTCCTTCCAGAGCCCCGAAAACCGGCAAAACACATTTCATATACTTATTACAGATAAAAGGTGTCATATTCTGATTGGATATGTATATTTCTGAGTGAGGTGCCGTAGATTTCTGATTGGAGTACAGGCGAGCCCACGCCTCTTGGCTTCGTCCAGGTCCGACATGCAGGTCCAGTCTTCTTCCCAAGCTCATCCAGGCCCTACACTATACTGACTGTTTCTCCTGTCACGTGCTAAGCTCTGAACTGCTCGTGCCTGGCACGGTGCCATCTCCTGAACCTCAGTGAATAACTCAGTGCACAATCTAATAAAAGTAGCAGAAAAGCAGTTCCTTCCTTATGTTTTGCTCACCATTAACACTGTCATGAAGCTCACTTCTCTTCATAGTTTAAGACCTTCTGGTAGCACATTATTCATAAACATTTCTTTATGAGCAAGCAATAATATTCTTCAGTTCCTAAGTGAAAGTAGATGTACCAGAGTGTAGGAATACTCTGTTACAAGTACAATTTCTGCATTCAAAATGATACTCAAGTAGTAAAAGTACAAAATGACTAGCTTTAAAATATACTTAAAAGTGTTGGGGAATATTTTTGTTTAGGTATTAACCTTTGACACAGCTCATCCATCTCTCCTTCCTCTGTCTCCTTTCCCATGGCATAGGTCTTCGGCCTTGGGGAGTGGTTGCTATCTCCTTTAGGGAGGAACTGCTCTGGCTTTTTTTTGTTGCCGGTTCAGTCCTTCTTATCGGGTGCGTAGGTCCCACTGGCATACATTCTTTGGCCATGGACGACAGTTTTAGTTAGATTTAGTGTCCACACTTTTTTAGTCTTGCTAATGGAGACTGTTGATTATACACTCTGAACTAGTTAAAACCTCCGACTAAGGGACAGATCTTCAGAATTGGTTTCGCTTCCCCTGTGTCAACCCACACGTCATGTTAATTCTCCGGCCGCAACTTCAAATAGACCATCAGTTTCTGCCATCAAGCTCCAACTCTCCCCAGAAGTTTCCATTACAAAAAGTACCAAAAGTAAAAGTACTCATTATGCAGATTGGCCCATTTCAGAATAATATATATTTAATATGTTTTTATTAGAATTGTTAGGAAAAATATCACTCGACACCGGCTTGAGAATCAATGATCAGCTCCAAATGTATTCTTGCGAGAAGGAGCAGAGTTTAATCACATACAGAGAGATGGTTCAACTCACACACACAAGGTTTGCTGATCAAAGCAGCAGAAAGACAGTTACACTTATATAGTCTTCACGGCATTTAGCACCATAGTCGCAAATTAGGTAGGCTACAGATGGGAAAAGACTGTAGTCTGACCTGCTCGTGTATAGGTTCTCTCTCTCGAATGTTGGGAATGCAGGAGAGAACAGTCTATCTTTTCCGTGGATAAACAAATGAATCAAGTCTTGGTGCCTCTTGTCTTACAGGAGGCATCTGCAGGGTCATGCACAGTTCTAACAGTAC